CGAAGGTAGTTAACCATGGTGTCCTGTACCCAGACAGAGATGTAACACGGAACTCTCCGAATATGAAACAGAAGTGCTGCTGTTGTCAGTCGAAACTATTAGAATTATTTTCTTGTCAACAGGTTATTCAGTATTGTTTAAATAGTTAAAATTAGTATGTGATGATGGGCTGCGCATGTAGCTATGATCGGGGGACACAAAGAATGCGTAAGTTATAGAATTCTGAAGAAGAAAGCCTTTTGGGGGGATGTTAAGAGTGGTCTTAAGAAGATGAATTGTGAAAATTAGATGTAAATGAAGATGAATTATTTTATGAACACGAGTGTTGTGAATATTATCCATCGTCTTGATTTTTCTCAAGCACGGCGTTTCGGAAACTGTTTACGTCGTAAAAAGGGAGAAAAGATTAAGATATTACTTATTTGGGTCACTAGAAGATACAAATGTTGGTAACATACGCACACAAGTATGATACCCATATTTTCATGTTTAATAACAAACAATAGGAGAAATAGCTAATAAGAAGCCAGTCCGACACTGAATCTGTGGCAGGTGGCTGGTAGTACCACCTGACAGAAGGGGTAACTGTCATCTGGCTCTCAAAACATTGCCTGAGTGGGTGGAAAAGACCGTGAAGAAGAAATAAACTCACCACGTTACTTCTTTTAGTGGCGTGTGTCCAGGCGTTTTGGGCAAATACGACGCCAGACAATTCTGTACGAGATTTGAGGTTCTCACGGCGGTGAAAATGTCGATGGATATTGGTCTTCTGTCTTGTAACCCGGTGTGGACTCGTTGATAGCACAAACGTTTCACAGAGCTAGACTGCCCTGAAGATGGAAGTATTGTGTTCCTCCGAATATTTTGTGTTTGTAGTCGGCGCAGTAGTTTTTGGACAGTGAAATTTTCAAAGGGAAGGCTAGGAGCGAGTCATTTGTGCTGTAGTATAATGCTGACTGCACCGAGGAGCTTATCGGACTGAACGCCCAAACAAAAGAAATACGCTGACGTTGCCACCTCAGGTACACAAACTAGGCCCGTCCGCCAGCTTCTCCACCGGCCAAGAACTACTGCGCCGACTATATCTACAAGTCAATACGACATTTCAACTCACGCTGTATTTTTCTATCGACAAACACATTCTCGGTATCTTACTATTTTTATTTTGGTTTAGACCTGTCTGTGCGTTTATGGTTCACATAGTATCAAGGATTAATAATGTGGGTAGGAGAATGAATCATGAATTGTCAAGGATTATTAAAGAGGCGGTTATGATCTGCTCGTTTTTCACGGATTTGAATGAGTACTAATGTCAGTGTAAAGGGCAGAATCTAAGGCTTGAATATATCCTTATGTTGGGTTTTGTTAGGTAGGGACGCAGTGAATGATATATAGTTGGGGATTATAAGGGAAGCGGTCATGACCTTCACATATATCTCTGGATCGATCGATATAACTCAAATTCTCAAGTATGTTTAATGGACATGCCTTAACAGATACAGCACATTAACTTATCGGATATCTAACGAAAAAACTTTGATGCCCGTGTGATTAATTAAGCACCGCACTATGAAGGTGTATTGGACATTGGAGTGTCGTTCAGTCATTCTTAGACGTACTGGATGGAGCTGAATGGTCAGCTTCACGTTGCGGCGGCTTTACCGGAGTAAGAAGTCCTGGTATTTGTGTGATAGGAGACTGGGTGTTTACCATAGTCGGTTTTGATGCGATGCTGAAGACAAAGGCCGTTCCTTTGCCGAAATTTAACCCTGGCATAGTACATGTTACCAAACTTAATGTCCTCCGCCCTGTTATGATTACAAATGACTTTGTAAGTCGAGTAGAAGTGATGTAACGGCATCTGACGCAGGGAAAGTTTAGAGAAAATACTGTCGCCAAAACCTAGGATAGATTTTATAAATACTCGTTTATTTTATTAGATAAGTTAAGTCAAATATAACTTTATTTCTTGTGTCAGTAGGCTTAATTATTCTCATACAAAGAATTACTTCTGTTGTTGAATAGGCGACCAGGTTACTTAAACTAATCACAGATGGCGGGACACGTTTCTTTAAAGGATTTCCTTGTATTTCGTTCGGTAATGCAGTCTGTATCAGCGTTGTACAACTGTCCCGTGAAATTATTTTGATTTATTTCTAATTGGTACAATCTTATTTGTTTTGTTTACTCCGAAGTATTTAAAAAATTGTGATTCTTATCCCCTCTGATGTTTTACGTACAAGTACATTCTGTAGGTGTTAATAACCACCGTAAGGTGCAAACTGTCCAGGTAAAAATTGTCGTATACCAACTGTTGGAAGAAAAAAGTGAAACAAGTATGCATCTCTTTTGTAATTTGTGTTTCAGTGAAATTAAATATGACCATTTACTGTGATAATTGTCATTTATGAATAAGTATTGTTAAACATAACGAAAACTTGCTATAAGTTTTTAAAAAGTGCCAGGAGATGTTTGTTGGTTCTACGAAACAACTGTAAAACTATTCTTGGTCCAAGAGGGGACAAATTTGGACTACCGTAGCTTACGTCATATCGAGAAACGTCTAAAATGAAAACTTACAAACCATTTGACCATATCAGAAATGTTCTAGAGTCTAGGTAGTACATCAAGAAATTTATACAGATATGCTGTTCATGTTTAAATTACAAGGTCAAATTCAGGAAACGTTATTTGGCATTCTGTTCAGAATCTCTTAACTGCCCGTCTTCTGTTTGAAAACGCGAACATTAAAATACTTGTGGGTTATTTAAGAATACTTGGGTGTGGATCTTGTCACTCATTTGAAGGAAGAGCAAACTTGTAAATCGAAGGTATCTGAGAAGGAAGTGCTTAGATATTTAGACTGGCAGAAGTGATCTAACAGAGGCGTGGGGAAGGAGGTTCGTAATGTTTAATATCCTCTGAATATTGTTAGGGTGATTACATTAAATAGATGAGCATGTGGGCGGGAAATGACAAATATGTAGAAAATATTTGACTGGAACTCTCAAAGATATGGGGGTGGTTGTGTATTAAAGTAGATCTTTGGTAAACAATGTTTTTGGTTGACAGGGTTTAAATGTTTCAGTACAGGGGCAGATGGTAGGATAAAGATGGCCTAAGGAGTTTTTTGATTAGCTAAAGTGATTATGAACTTTTGTAGCAGACCGAGTTATTTTCGGTATTTATTAATTATCATTACCTTTGTTAGTGATTTGTTTCAGGACGTGTTACTGACAGAGTCCAATTCATGACGGGATTATGAAACTTCAATGTCTTCTCGGGTTCTACTGATCTGATTTATTGTAGTCATAGGTTTCTGTTTGCGAAAGTCACATGTTCGCATAACAGAGAAAAGATAAATACACGGTAAATATATAATGCATGTGTAGCAATTCGCTTAGAAAACCAGTCGGGCTGGAAATTCTGATCCACGGCACTTCCAGTCCGTATAGGTGGTTTGTTGCTGTTTTAAAGTGGCTACAGATAGGACGGGGTGTGGGAAGAAGGGGGGGCGTCGCGACGCCGTAGCAGGCCTGTGCTGCTCGAAACGACGCTATAAATCGCAAACGAGGTCGGACGAGACGAGGCTTACGGCAGTAAAACGGGTGAGTCCCAGTGTCTCGGAAACCTACTAAGTCATAACTTGCACATGCAGATAAAAAATTAGTGTTAACTTTATGTACTGCCTGGGTTCAGTTGAAGTAATATCAATTCGTACAGCATCTCAAGAGGATTTATTATCTTCAAAGTGTTGAAGATGTATTTTTTTAAGATTTGTATGTGATGAATTGTTTCATATTTTAACGGAATCGGCGGATTTTTTCTTGTTTTCTTGTATAATGTTCTGTCGATTTATGAAACGCAGACTTCATTTTGGATAGTCTTGATTTCGTTGTGGTTATGAAAGCCTTCCTTAACACAGGAACACACTGTCACTAACGCCCTCTCTCTCTCTCTCTCTCTCTCTCTCTCTCTCTCTCTCTCTCTCTCTCTCAAATGTCGGCGAAAATATATCCAGAAATTACATTTAATTCGATTTAGGTCACTTTTTCGTAATATTTTCCGAACAGGTATATTATTTGATAATCTTATTTAGTGTCTTTCCCGAATTACGAACTCAACGTGAACTGGACTCAGTTACTTATTCGCGAAAGTCAACATACGAAACCAAAATTATAAATTTGGGAAAGTGTAAACCTACCCAAAGTGTGGAGTACACCTATATTCCCAATGCGTTCTGTGCCATGTTATGTATTCTACATTATTGACGTTTGATGTTCATCTAGATTATATGGGTTAAAATCAAGGTACATTTTGCACGAATTGCAACATTTCCGCTGTGATATTCAGTTTTAATGCCAACTGTATTTATCATCATATGTTTAGTGTAAGATAGGCTACATGTTGTTTTATCACATAAATGACGGGCTTTACTTACGTATCATCACTGAAATCTCCACACGACAGAATACGTCATATGAGTAGACTGCTGACATGTAACTTACCGTATTTCAACAAAACTGGACCTAATGGACGTATTTCAAAACAGTCCTGGGAGTGAAACATTAACGGATTAAGCTCACCGATTTGTGTGTTCCTACTCAAACGAGTTCGTTTTGAATCATCTCTCCTCAATTTAGATGTAAGCTCTAAGCTTTGTTGAAACCGGCTACAGAGGTTTTCTATTTGTTACACCAGCGCGTACGTAGCGTGCCCAAAGTTAAAAAAACAACAACTGAACAGCGTAACGCGGAACAAAATAAAATCTGTGAAAGAAATTGAAATGTTCTGGGCGGGTAATAAGGGATTTATTCCCCTGTTACGTGTTAAAGCCTCTTCCTATGGTTTGAATTAGGGAGACACGACTCGGTAGAAATGTGATTCCAATTATAAACAGCATTTAACCGCCCTCTGCTAATTTGGACATATGTACTACTGTAACTAATCTCGTGATGTGAAATCCGTTTGAATTAGTTCTCGCGCGGTACCGCATACTGCGCTGTTAATCTAAAAGTCGGTTACGTACGTGAGGTGGTGTAGCAGTCCCGTCTGATAGACTGAGCTATTTAGTGTTGCGTCCCGAAGCGTTGCTTGAAGCTCCTACTGTCACTGACCGTTTGTCTGGAATTAGCTAACTCTTACAGGCCTTCAGTCCACGTCTGTGCGTGACCACTTGCAGGTAACATTACTGTAAATGTTATTTCATTTCCTTTTAATTTCTTTGTCTCTTTTCTTTCCTGTTTTCCTTACTTTGTGTTTTTATACCTTTGTTTCTTTGTCTGCCTTTTTAATGTTTCTGACACTAATGAACACGTTACAGACCAGTTGGTTTCTGTATTATTAATAATAAATTTGTCATTTCAAACAGAAAAAAATGTCTTCCCTTCCCAGTGAGATTTCACGTTCCGTAAAGCTATGCACAACGATTCAAGTTAGGACAAAACACATCGCGTGTAAGCTACAGACAGTGTTTGCACGTGGAACTGTTTTACGGATCTGTATCCCCAAGAGGAGCAGACTAATGCTATAATTACTGTCGGGACGTTGATTAGCGCACCAGCAGCGAGCTTCAGGCACATCTGAACCGTCCCGTCTTCAACCTGTTTCAGTAATTGATTTGTAATATACTGTTTTAATGGCTTGTATTTTTGTAGTGTGCACGTAAATATTCTCTCGTAAGTTGAGGCCATGTTTCTATGTAAAACGTATACTTCATGATTTCACACTAGCAATTCAGTAATTTGGAAAATATATTCAGCTGATAAACGAATAAGTTATATAAAACATGTAATGTCTAATGTATTTGGACGATTTTATTTCCGACGTGTGAATGGTGGTGGGCGGTGCATGTAGCACGCATCAAAATGACTAGGAATACATGGGCGTTAATATTTTGGTCTGAAAATCAGAAAATAAGAGAATTATTTGAATACTTCGGTTTAGATGGGATGATAATATTAAAATAATTGTTAAAATATGGTGTGGGATGGATCCATAAGGCTCAGGGTAGGTCTATTTGTGGGCTCTGGCGACTTTATAATGATCTTTTGGTTTCCATAAAGACGTGGAATTTCTTAACTATCGGAACAGATGTTAACGTCTCATGAAGAGTCTCCGAAGCCGAGATGTAGCGCCTTGTAATATGTTAGATGTTTACCGACGTTTTAGAGATGCTAATTGCCTCCATGATGGAAGCAGTAAGCCCCTAAATGACGTAGAATCCCAAGTACAGTAATCTTTATACTCGCCGCCGTCAGAACTCGGAATCTCAACAAGAACTATGCTCCCTGGGGTTACGTTGGTTAGTTAGATAGTTAATGGATATTTACTTATATCCAGGCAAATACAGCCAACTCTCGGTTTACGAATATTCGCTATAACGAACGTCACAATTTATTCAAAATTTCTTAAAGTCGCCGATAGAGTTCCTTATAAAAATAAATTCCGAACGTATAGAGAACATAATTGTAAGATTTAAATAAATAAATGTTTAAGAAATGTATTTATTACAATAATTATAGAATAATACGATACGTATCGTAAAAGCTGACGAATGCAAGATGCACATAGCGAACAAAAACGTGTAACGAACAACGTCTTGGAACGGAACTCGTTCGTAAACCGAGAGTTGCCTGTATTACATTTCTGGGACTATTATTCATTGCACAGACAACAAGAAGAACTATACACGAAAAAGGAGATCAAAAGAGCAAAGGTTTCTTTGAGGTGTTTATATATGTGCAAGGGCCATTGAAAAGTGCGCCAGTCGAGCTTCGAACCCCTTAATTTACAGCGCAGCTCCACACAAGCGCGGTTGTTACCCTGGAGATGTGTCCTGTGGCGGCTAACATTGTTTCGCTCTCAGGCGTCACAGCTCGTTGCCTTGTCTGCTGCCGCAATGAAAGTGCAAGTAAGTTTCACCCTGTTGCTGCCCCCGCGAGGTGAGTGCTCCCTGCGTTATAATGGCCGCCATTCCATTTTAGTGTACAGACAAAAGCAGTTATTGCTCCTGTTATTAAAAGACCAACGCGTAACTTTCGTTCGCTGTGGCGTATGATTGTATTCAGTTTATCACCCCGATGAAAGTTAACAAATCTTATCGCGAAAATGACTGGGTTCTGGGTTCTTGTGCCGCCTAGTCTGATGCTGTCTTCATCATCAGCGACTATCAGACTACACGGCACAACAACTTCGAAGACAGCCGTCTTCATACTCACGGCAGCGAAAATATCAAATCTCTCATTTTATCGCGGCACTAGCTAGACCTTAACGTTCACTGACCACGTTTTTGAAATATTGAAAGAGACTGGCCCATAACGGAACCGGCTTTCACTGTCTTCGAATTTGCTAACAAAATACGGCGGTGATGTAATTTATTTATGTTTTATAATTGCCTCTGCTTTCCATTCATAATAGTTAATTTGGCGCCAGTATAAAGCATATAATAAATGACCATTGTGCTGTAGAAACGTGTTACTTGGTTTATCAGCCTTTCGTAGGACAATACCACAAGGGACAAACTCCCTGGTACGTTTCTATTGGATGGAGTGTGGCTGGATCCCAGATCCAGGCTGAAGAAAAACATACTTGCCACGTCAGTGAATCGAAATGTAGTCCTCCAGGTAAATAACCTGTCACCGCACAAGCCGATCGTATGCCTCTAAGAGAAGACTGGAAAGGTGAGGTCCATACTCCAATACCCAGGAGTCTTCCCACGCGTTCTTTGCATTTTCTTGCCTATAAAATGTACCATACCATGCGCATAGGCAGCCATGAAAGCGAAACAGGAGATCACGTACGATGTACGAACACGGATCTTGGCGGGTGTTTTGAACTCTTACGCCTACGGACTGGACGAGTGGGGTTCTATCCACATTGGCTCTGAGTCCCACCCAGCCTACTGTTTAATGGGTACCGTGGGTCGTGACGCTGACCATTAACTCCATCTATTGCCGAAGTTAAGAATGATTAGGAGCTATACAACCTCTCCCCTCAAGCGGCCTCATGGCTTGATGCGGAACAGCTTTCCTTCCCTTTAATGAACTCTTTAACTTACACTGTTATTCACAAAAATAACTTATTGGAATTGCAATCCAATTTTACGTTTTAATATTTTCACAAAACGGGCATGAACATATTTTTATGTATTGATATTTCTTTAGGGTGCATGCGGGCTCTGTTGCACATCTCTGCATGGTGCAATCACCTAAAATAATTGTCATTATTAACAGAGAATCATCATTAAAGCGTAAATTATATTTGTTGTTTTGAACTGTCTTTGTATTAATTAATTTGTTTATCGGAAACTGATTTTTGAGGGAATAGCATGGTTTCAAATGGCGGGCCTTGACTTTGTTTCTGTATTACAAACTAGTCAAAGCCCGTATCACATAATAAGAGTTTTATCTGTGGTAAGATATTGTACTCGTGCGCAGATGGAATATTTTCAGTCGAAATCCTTTCAGTATCTCGTGCAACCACCATCTTGTTGCACACAGTACGAAGCATTACCGTAAAAAATGTCGTGCATGCCTATTTCATCGATTTTAAGACGCCGTAAAACCTAAGACGCATTCGGATTTCAGAAATTTTGAGATATAAAATGTTGTTCTTAAAATTTAGGAAATGAGTAATTTCGAACATCATTTCAGGACCCCGTCTTAATTGATAGCAGCTTCGCCTCCACTTTACAAGTTCGTGCATCCGCCATATTGCTGTTTCATATAGTTGGACATTGTAAATTACGATCTTAGGGTAGCATTCAGTGGTGTAACGTACATACCAGTTTTTATCAGAATCCGTCCATCTGTTTTCAGGTTGATACAGCTTCTATCGGCCATGTATCCACCCATTTCATGCACTGTGTGTAAAGAACGGATAATAGCCGCTTCTCGTCCAGAGACTCCCAGATGCAGTCGTTGTTTCTAGGTCTCATTAAAACAGCATTTGTCTCGTGAACTGAGTCCCAAGTCATCCAGCCAGTAGCCAGTCGCTGGTATCAGGGCTTACAGTTAGGACAAATACCTCTTCGTACGAACAGACGACTCTCACGTGTTCTGTCAGTGATACTGGATTTCAACAAGTACGTACTCCATGGCGTCGGGGAACTGTAATTAAATAACGTGTTCAGACGATATAAAACGCGTTTTGAACAATTACGTTGTTGCTGTTGAGACTGAAGTTGCTTTGCACGGTTTTGGTGTACGATTAGTTGCCTTTGGGCCAGATTGCTAGAAAGTATATTTGTAAGATTAGAATAAATGGGGTAATGTAATAGACTTTGCGGGTTCTTGTATTACTAACGGGTTAAAACATAATGTGTTACGCCATAGTTATAACAATGCCGCTTACCTATACACTGTAAAATTAGTGAAAGAAGTTAAAACCAGGATGCCGACTGCAGTATTTTCCCGTTCTTGATACAAGAAACAAGTCTCGGGTTTGTTCGAATGTCTTCGCCATTTAACGTTGTCTACGACCTCGGTTTCGTTCGACAGATCAGAACCAGTAAGGGATTTCTTTGTTTTGAGTAAAAATACTAAGCAGGTACTTCGTTAAAAAATTTTAAGAAAATGTTAGCAGGTGGGAAAGTTGGTGACACTGTCCTGTCGTGATGGATAACGCACGCCAGAACTGACTGCTTATCTTCTGCTGTTTGGTTTGTCTTGTGCATTAGACTGCTCGTGACCTGTGTTAAATGACGAGGTGAGTAATTAATGAGTACGATGCCAAGAAGACGTGTAAGTCATTTTCTGACATCTCATATAAATTAAGGTGAATTTCGGACTTGGTGTTGTAGTATGTCTTTGATACCGTCATGTTGAAGAGACCTTACTTTGTCAGGCTCGCTACATTGCACATTTATTTAAGGAACATCTGGGGAGTTTTGTTGTTATGTACCTTCATTCGTTGTAAGAACTTGCTTTCTATAATGTGGGTTACGTCTCGGTGGTTACGGCAATACAAAACGATGGCACTTCTATCTCATATATTACCTGTAGGGCTTTTATATTCAGTCGATTAGCGTTGATTGTGGATTTGGTGTTTTCAATGACCTCATAAAATTGAAAACATTTTAAATTCTAGTGGTAAAGCTAACGTAAAATAATTTCTTCAGCTTCTTGTGGAAATTTTCTCGAAATTAAAACTATTGCGTCACGACTTCATTCTCAGAGTAACGCATGGAGTCATTGTGTTCTTTCATACACTATACTGAGGATAAAAGCAACGTGTTCTTCCTTAACGTTGGTAATCTTCCTGAAGAAAAACTCTTGTATCGTACGGGTTACGCTGTTATCACCGATGTTGCGATGTGATGTGTTGCAGATGGAAACTGTCTGTGCTTTGAGAGGGTTTGGTGTACAATCTCTCCCTCGACTGTCAAGATTGCAGCTGGGATTCATCACCGGCTGCCTCCAGTCACGTTACCATATCTGCGTTCTCGTCTGGCTGACTCTGATGTAGGGAAGTTGTTGTGTGGACCTATCGCCATCTTAATCGCATTTCCAGATGCTACAGTGGCATGCGTGGGAAGTGTAGAAATACCGGAAACAAGATAAATCAGACCCTGATGATGGAGGCAGCAAGTACTTTTGAAACGTCGATAAAGACAATGTCAGACAACATGTCGCAACATCCTAAAATACAATCATATTTGTTCTCGACGCCGTGAGAGTGCAGCACAAAATGGATCTGTATCTGCAAAAATATGAAGATCACAAATACTCGTAGAAAGGAATTATTATTGGCAAATTTTATTTGAAAATGCATATATTGTATTTTAGTAAACCTTTCTACTCTTGTAATATTTGAGGTTTTCACAGTGGTGAGTATGAAAATTTCTGTCTTCTGGGTTGTTGCGCTGTGTAGTATGGCAGATGTTTACCAACGTTTCTGAGGTCATACTGCCTCCGTCATCAGGGTCATCTTATTTGAGGTTCTGTTAAACTTCTAGTAAGGTTTGACACGTATACATAAAACAACGTAATTTAAGTATGACTCGAAGTTTACAAATTCCCCCACAACTATTCCAGTGGCATTATCTTGCCGTTCACACAACAGACCTTTGTTAGAATTACTTTCTGGCTGAGAATTGTTCAAAGAGAACGCATTTCGTTGTATATTTGAACACAGCACATTTGTTACAAATTATATCGTTCTATTTCAGAGTTGTCTTCGAAGCATTTTTCAATGGGGTATGGTTCAATGCGAACTTCTCCTATACCAGTTTGCTAGAAGATTTTGCCTTGGTGTTTGTACCAAAAATTTACGACATCGATAGTGCGAACACGAGAGCTTTATTTAATGTAGATCTGCGCATTCATTTTACGACAGATAAAGGATAGAAGCGTACTGGACCATCACCATCTTCTCTCTTGTCCAGACAGGAGCTCAACTTTGTATCTGAGATAAGGTGAGCCATTAACTGGGGACTGATTGTGTATTCATTGAGTGAAACTTCTTGTAGCTTCAGGCTGTTGTAAAACCTGTATCATTTGTTTGTCAGTCGACTATTAACCTCGTAAACAGTTGCTAGGTGAATGCCCCCTCTTCAGGCAATGTAGGCTACACGTGTTTTTACATCGCGATGTTGAGAATTTGTTACGTCATATAATGTGGTGTTAGGAATGCACATATTGTTAAGTGCTGGTGTGCAGAGACCATATCAAAGAAGATTAAAATTTCAGTTGTAAATTACAGTCTTTCAGAAATAAATTATCATGTAAAAGATATATGTTATGATATGATTAGAATTTATTTAGGCATATTGCTTACAGTTGTACAAATGAACCTGTTAGTTATATTATTTATAATTTTCACACTTGAAATCTTCAAAACCGACGTGTAAAAATTACACGACCCAAGGCAATTTGTCTGGACATTAGAAATTCGTTCTCATATTATGACTTGCTCGTTGTCATGACCGGAGTACGCGTGGACCAAAAAGTGATTTAAGATTAAATTACTCTGTGGTGGTACAGTTTATGTCTGATTTGTGATCTGGCTTAACTTCTTATCTCGTCTCAGTATTACATCACAGTTGGTAAACTAAACTGGGTTAGAATGTGCGAATAAAATTGTCTGTATACATGATTGTGGTAAGCAGACCGCTTAGTATCAGAAGCGAGGATTAACTTTCATGTAGTGAGGATGTGAACTGAAATGGTCGAGTAAGCTGTTCAGTGGCGTCTTCGTGTGACGACGGTGATGGGCGCAATGGTGGTGTTACTTATCGGTCGAATAAGTATACTGTTCAGGCCAAAACACTGCTTACTGCAGTGAACTAGTATTAAATTGTTTAAATAATGATGCGTAGGTGTGTATAGAGTAATAATATTGAACTGGCTCTTGAATGGAAGTTGGGGACTGGATTAATTTGGCTCAGTATGAGATCCAGTAGCTGACTTTTATGAACGTGATAATAAACCCTCGGTTTTACAAAATTAATGGAATTTATTTACAAGTTGAGTGACGTTTAGCTTCGTACGGCATTAGATCCTGTTGTCCGAGTAAATTGACTTATGTAAGGGACGTTCTACTTTTTAATAAACACATTGTTTCTGTTTTGAAATACCTCTTTGGCAATGTTACCCCTAAAGCTTTACAAGTAAACCAAAATTATCCTTCCTCGTTTTGAAGCAATAGAGATTGTACCAAAGAAGCTAGGAACCACTGCAGTAGACGGAGAAAATTATGATTAGTTGTTGTCATATTTTTTGCATACATTCTGTTAAACTAATCAGAATAGGTACAGTTTTTCCCAAGTTGTGATGTATTACATTCGTTGTTTAGAAAATGAAAGCGCATCACAATTAGTATTATTAAGAAGAAAGTTTGGTGTGAATGTTGATGCTGGTTTTGTCAGAGCTACTGCATATTTCAACTCATGCCTAAGTTCCAATCTGTTCCTTGCGCTTATTTTAATGTTGATCAATATAAAAAAAAGTCTTACACACAACTACACGTAATGGAAAATGGGATTAGAAGTTTGAGGGCTGTTATTAGAAACAACTGCGTGTTCTAAACCAGCTTTTCGCCAGAACATTGCCAGATGACAGTCGTGAAAATCTTATTTCAATGTATTACCTTCTCTGGATAGTAACACCATGTGGACATATAGGCAGATACCAACGTTTCGGAGAAATATACTGTTTCTGTCTTCAAGTCTGAACTTAGTTTTACCATTTCTAACAGCTAGACCTAGGCCTACATGTTTTGTGCAAAATGACGGCATCTGCAAACATAAAGAACCTGTCAGAATGTGTCGTCGAGTGGTTGGCACCTCTGTTTTGTGTTCAGAGGTACAGTTCTCGATTGTCGGCTATCCTGTCTGACGGTTTACTTTGTTTTACTCGGACCGTTAGGGAAGATATTGGGATAGAACTTTGAATAGGAGACGTTCGGTTCTTTCTAGAGTCTATACAATTCATCATTCACAAAATTGTCTAGTTTCTTGGCGCTATTTCACCCAACATTTGAAAAATAATCGTTAACGTCCCACAAGACAAACGATCGGATATTATTTTAAAATGGACCACGGCAACTTCCATGCAGAACGTTTAGAGTTCATCGTTATTGTTTAAAAAAGCATTATGTAACGGTTGGAAAACGGTCTGTAAGTAACCAAAAGACCATTCATCGTTGAACTACAGTGATTTTCTGTAGTGAAACCTTTTAATTATTCTTAATGGAAAGTGACAATACGTAATATTCTGGCTTGTTTAGTTACGACCCTGCGATCCGCCTTCGGTTTACATTTGATTACTTGCTGAGTAGCGTCTGATGTGTTCAGACTAATTGGATGGTTCGGTGAGAAGGTGAAATAACGCGAAACGTCACCCCCATCCATCCATGAGTGAAGTACGAATTAGCGTTTCCAAGACAACGACCTCAACTGCAGGAATACGACCATTCCCAGTGCGTTTGTCAATGGAATTTAATCTGCAATCAGCATGTGGTCCATTGGCGGGGAGATTGGAAAATCCATTACTGTATGGTTTTGTACTTTTAGAATATGCTACAGAATCGAACTGTTTTGTATAAACGTCGTAAACCTACGTCTCGGACTATAAGTACTGCTATGCAAACAAACAGCTTCTCAGAATTCAATTCATTTAATTGATGTAACTTCGAAATTAATTATTTGTTGCGGTAATTTGTCTGCGGCACTGCGCATTCAAAGACATGTTCTCATTTCTTTAATGAACTGCTTTTGTTGTCACATATGGGACAAAATACAAAATTCTCGTAGACATATGTTTGCGAGAATCTAACTAATCTTAGCAAATGTTTACTACACGGCACTTCACTCACCTCCGCTGCAAAACTGTGTTAAATGTGCTACCTTAGCCATTGTCATAAGACATTTATTTTACCCCACAATATCGTGCCGATTACGGAAGGTGCAACACACACTAACTTATGGGTCCCTCCATGTCTGTCTGTCGCGTTTTAAACATGCATGGCAGGGGCTTATATTTCCTGCGGGGGTACTCAACCTGCGTGAACGGATTTAATGCTCTTGCAGGTTGATCAACCCGTGTGACCTGGAGTCATTGTTCGTATGTGGGTGCTCAAGTTTCATGACCTGGGATGGCACTAATGCAAGACTGGACGAAGTATTAACAGTCTACGTGATGATACGTGAAGAACACCTTTGAAATATATTATCTTGCAAGCTGTTAACTTTTCACCTGGTCAGGGAACGCTCGTATTTTATGGAAGTCGTAATTCGTTACTCTGTTAATTACAACACTCTGTTATACCGTATTATAAGGCAACTGAATTCGGTCTACACCTTATTTATGTTGAGATCTGCTCTAGTCTTATCGTCTCATATACCCAGAGGTATTCATTGTTGTGTCTTCTCTTCTGTTATTCGACTGTTTTACATGAATCTGTCATCTCCCACGTGCTAGATGTTTCGTCATGTCACCACGCTTAATTTCATCACCTTAATCACGTTTGGTGGATAGTAAAAATTACGGATATCCTCGTTATATAATTTTATCCAGTCTTATTACTTATCTCTGTTAAATCAGAATATTTACCTGAGGATATATTATTCTCTCCTCAGAAATGCTATTTTTCTGTTACGTTACACGATCTTGTAGCAGCAATTTTAAAAAGTTACAGTGCCGTAAGGTTTGGGGACCTGTGGGGAAGCTGTGCTGTTTTATTGGCAGCAGCGTATCACTTATATGCTTGTTATGTACACGTTTTATACATTAGCACTGTGTAATCAATATAATGGAGAACTATGTCAACACACTTTAAAAGAAACTTCCATTTAATTTTCTGGAAGGCGTAGGTCGAACTTACAGACGCCTGCGTGTTTTCGAAGTAGCTCGTCTTACGTGTTTTTAATTCCATGAGAATGTTTACCAGATTTGGAATGTTTTTGAATCCCGTAGCTCATTTATCATAGCGATGAGTAATGTCTACAGGAACTCAAAGCCCAGTGATTCAGATAGTCTCTTACGTCATGCACCATCTAATGTACTCAAATATTTTGCTTATAATTCAAGGTTAAATAGCTTTAACGTGTCATCATCTGCTCACATGCTTGTGTCCGTCCTGCCTTAAATAACGTTTGAACCATTTGACAGATTTTCATTAAACTTGATATAGGTATACCTTGTTTTATTGCGCTTCGCAGATATTGCGTTTTTTACAAATTGAAGGTTTGTGGCAACCCTGCGTCGAGCAAGTCTATCGGCGCCATTTTTCCAACAGCATGTGCTCACTTCGTGTCTCTGTGTCACATTTTGGTAATTATCGCGTTGTTTTTTTTAGACATAATGCTATTGCACACTTAATAGATTACAAGATAGTGTTAACATAACTTTTATATGCAGTGGGAAACCAAAAAATTCGTGTGACTCGCTTTATTGCGGTGGTCTGGAACCGAATTAGCAATATCTCCGAGGTATGCCTGTATGTACTTTATTCTTGAAGATTTATGTATTCTGGGTTGTTGCGCTCCGTCATCAGGGGCATTCAATGCCCTGATGACGAAGGCAGTATGACCTCTGAAACGTTGGTTAACATCGACCAGACTACACAGCGCAACAACCCAGAAGACGGAAATCTTCATACTCACCGCTGTGAAAACCTCAAATCTTACTTCATTCTTCTAGAGACCACCTCATTATTATGGTCTCTTATGTCATAAACGTAATACGTAACGGTGGTTGGAACACTTTACTGTAAGCGACACGTAAATCTTCGTCATAACCGCATGATTGTGACAAAATCCTGGAAAGAATGACGCTCCTACCACAGCTTTGGGAACAAACTCATGATGGCACCGCGGAATTACTTAGAACGATACAGACATTTGCTTTTCATATTTCGATTAGTCGTGATAATGACAGTGATGGCAACAGATTTGTACGTCTTTGTCGAATTGACTTATTTCTGATGACGCTATTAGTTATTTCAGCGTTAGTGTTG